TAGTATTCTGCTACTGTTCTTTCTTGCATCTCCTCCGGAATATCCATCAAAGCTTTAGTAATTAGAGGTTCTTGCAAAACCCACACATCCCGCCAAAAGTTATTTTTCTTTCTATTCTTAACATTTTTGGCAGCTCCTTTGTGAAGGAATTGATTGTTTGAGCAAAGCTCTTCCAAGCCTGGGAACTTCCCTTTGATGGTGTCAGCAGTTGCAGTCCCATCCTGACTCTCCAGTACTTGCTTCTTAGCACACTTGTCCATAAATTGTGGTTGTCCGTAGCGAGGTTCCAAGCTCCTTTTGTTGATATTGCCTGGTGAGTCCTTCTAGTGGGCCGAATACCAAGGCCACCAAGCTGACGAGGTTGAGTCAGTTGGTTCCATGCCACCGAATGGAGTTTAGATTAGCCTTTTTCTTCACCCTAGATGAAACTTCTGTTGTACCTGTCAATCGAATTGCAAACTCCAATAGGAAGAAGTTCAGAAAACATAGGGTAAATTGTTATATTCAAAGTGACCACCTTCACCAAGGTTACTCTAGCCGCCATAGATAGGTGTCTTGTTTTCCACGCAACCAACTTCTTTTGGATTTTAAGAAGGAGTTCATTGTATCGAGCTTTCGTAATCCTCTCATTGATAGAAGTCATCTAAGCATGTCTTGATGATATCAAGCTGATTCCCCCTGTCTCTGCAAACAAAACAAGATCATCAACAAAAAATAGATGAGAATTTTTTGGAACATTTTTTGAAAGCTGAAGCGGCCTCCAAGACTTCTCCTCTACTACTTGTTCAATTTTATGGGCCAACCTCTCCATACAAAGAATAAACAGAAAGAGGGAAAGGGGGTCTCCCTGTCGGACTCCTCTGGTGGGGAGTATTTAGTCTGATAGTTGCCCATTCCAGCTTATCCTCATCTTGTTTCCCTCCACACAGGACATAATTCTATTGATTAGACAACCGGCCAACCCTACTTCCTTCAAAGTATCTTGGATGAATTCCCAACGCCTGTCATATGCTTTCTCAAGATCAATCTTGATAATCAACCCTCCCCTTTTCCCTTTTTTGTTCCTTAGAGTGTGAAGGGCTTCTTGCAGAATAATAATATTGTCATTTGTCTGTCTGCCGTGAATAAAACCGCTTTGAGTGGGGGCAATGAGTTTCGGCATCAGAGGCTTCAATCTATTGGTGACTGCCTTGAGAGCTACAGTCTTCAAACATATGGGTCTGAACTGTTTTGGAGACTCTCGCTTATCTGTTTTCGGAATCAGGATCAAGGTTGACTCCATAGTTTCTTCGGCCATCTCTCCAGTTTCAAAAAATTTAGCAGTCATGTCTGCCAGATTCTTTCCAACAATCGGGCAAAGTTTATGGTAGAAGATGGCTTGGAAGCCGTCGGGACCAGGGGCAGAGTAGGGCTTCATTCCGAATATTTCTTTGTGGATGTCAGTTATGTAAAAGGGTCAGTGTAGAGCCAGCAGCTCTTCTTGTTGGACTGTAGGAAACTCATTGTGAGGCATACGATCTTCGTACTGCATTTCATCTTACATATAAAGAGTAGTGTAGAAATCTAAGACCATATTGAGGAGAGATTCATGGTCACCAATCCAAACACCATTCATATCGCGAAGAGACAGAATTCTATTCCTTCTTTTGTGTCGAGTATCTTGGTGATGAAAATACGCGTATTCTGTTCTCCTAGAACTACCCATTTCTCCTTGGTCCGTTGAAACCAGACTAGCTCTTCTTGTGCTAGTACTTTGTAGAGTTCCTCTTCCAGCTTAATCTGCAGTTTCAGCAGGCCAGCATTGAATGAGTTTGCTAGGCAATTAGTGATGCCTTTTAGACTAGCCAACAATCTAATTTTCTTTTTGTGAATGGACCCAAAAACCTCTTTGTTCCACTGCTGAAGTTTAGGGACCACTTCCTTTAGAGCTTCTTGAAGATTGATCTCACGATTCCAATTGGCTGCTAGGAACTCTTGAAACTTATCTTCTGTCAACCTTACCGCCTCAAACATGAAATGTCCCGGGCTGATGGTGCAATGCAAGTCACCAACTGTAGTCAACAACGGGAGGTGGCCTGATTGAAATTTAGGAAGGTGTTGAAATGACGTGTTGGGGAAAGAGTGGTTCCAGGCAAAGTAGTCAAAATCGGGATTTTACGTAAAATCGAAAATGGGGGTAAAATCTGAATCGTAAAACCGTAGGATTTTAAGATCCATATAAAAATGAAGACATATTAATATTACTAAGAAAAATCATGAATAACACAAAAGCACATAACACTTACAATAATAATTTTTCAAGCTTAATGTTCAATTTATCAGGATAAATGTCAAGAGGTGGTGAATCGATGATGATTAATACGTTGATGTGAATTGATTATAGTAGATGGTGGTTAGTGTGAGAGAACTAGATGATGTTGTTGGAGGAGAAGAAAAAAGAGGCGTAATTTTGCAAATTTTGGGGGAAATAAGTAATATTGACTCAAAGATTTGAATCTTAAAATCGTAAGATTTTAATGATTTAAATCGTGAATAGTGTAGGATTTTAAGGTCAATAGATTTTATAGTGAAATCAGAATCGGAATAGGTAAGTAAAATCGTAAAAGCGTAAGATTTTAGGATTTAAATCAGAATTTTGACTACTCTGGTTCCAGGTAGCGTTGCACAACGATCTATCAATTCAGCCTGCTTTTCTGGTCGCTTGAGAATCTCCTCGAAACCAAGTATATTTGGGTCCAGTGAAGCCCAAACCCATAAGCTCTGCTTGGTTGATCCAGGATCCAAACCGATGACATCTGCAGAGAGCGGCTGGGGAGTTGGCACCAAGTTTCTCTTCCGGTAGACTGTAGGCATTGAAGTCTCCCGTTACCAGCCAAGACATATCATGAGAACTGCTGAATTGGATGAGTTGTTCCCAAAGAAAGGCATGATGTCTGTATTGCGGGCTACCATAAACTCCCATTAGTAGCCATTGATGTCTGCTAGCCGAATTGATTTTAACCATTATATGCTGTTTGCTGGCATTCACCAGATCCACCTTGAAAGAGTTCTTCCATACTATCCAAATACCTCCCGCTCTGCCCTCTGCATCAATCCTCAGGACCTCATCAAACCCAAACCTGTTGCACACTACATCTGCTCTATCCCCGCTAATTTGAGGTTCCAGCAAAATTAGGAAGTCCGGCTTGTGAGTATCGATGAGCAGTCAGATAGCACGATGGAATTTCTTGTTGCCTGCTCCACACACATTCCAGGAAAGAATTTTGAAGTTAGTTGGATTAGACATAGGAAAGATAAGGAAAAAAAACAAAAAAAACCCAAAAGAGACAGGGGAAAAAGGGTTCAAGAGGGGGGGGGGGGGGAGAATTGAGGGCTCAGAGACTGCGAGCTCTGTCTCCTCAATAGGGTCTTCATTTCTCTTCTTCGGATGGATGATTTCGGTCATAGCAACATCTTCTGGAGCTGTCATTTCCAACCTACAAATGCTCTTAACCTTGTTTTGAGCCTTTGAGCAAAATTCTTCAATGGTTTGCAGAGTAATCGAGCTATTCGAGAGCTTGGTTAAAGATGGCGAGACTCTCTGATTGGGGCATCTGATCTGAAGCGGTTTCTTCACTGCTTTGACATTGATTCCCCTAGGTTTCTCCTGAATCCCGTCTCGCACAACCTTCTTCTTTTGGTAATGATGACAAACTAAGGATGCTCCATTATTGGGGTTACATTTTCTTTGCTTGGGAGAGCTAATTCGGGGATCGAAATGACCCTGATGTTGGTGCCTTGGTGATTTTGTGCCCTTTGGATAATTGCTAAGTCCTTTGTTCCCGATGTTGATGGCTCAGTAGCTAGGGGTGTTCAAACGGTTTGGTTACCATGGTAACCGTTTTAACCGGTACTATTTGGATAATTTGGTATGGTTAATTTGTATAATTGGTTTGGTTTGGTTAAAGTGTTTAGCTTGTTTGGTTTAGGTGGATTGGTTTGGTTTCAGACACTCCTAACCAGTCAAACCAAATTAACCAGTTAAGTAATTAGTCATATATCTAACATATATTATATACACATACTTAATACTTTGCATAACCACTCAAGAGTTAACGTTCATCCCTTTTAGACTCATAAAATATAAAGCTCAATATTGCTCATATAGTGTATATTTGTATATGTAAAATGTAGACCACAACATATGGACGCCTAATTTAGATAAATTTTATACATTATGATGGATAAAAACTTGAAAGGAAGGTCATTTCCAGCCTATGATAATTGCTAAGACACTAAGTCAATTTACACAAACACAACACTTCATTAACCCATACCATTGTCATAAATTTTTGTTAGGTGAATACTTCTATACTAATCGTAAGATAATTGTCTTAGTTGCATGTATTTTTGTTAAGGGTCAACTATAACTACGTGTTGGTTGTTATGTTTTATTCATTATATAAATTGCGAATTGTTGCATTAACCGGAAAATTTTCATCGTCAATGATAATGTGATTTTATATTGGTTAATCTGGTTAGCCAATTAATCAAACCGATTAAACTTTAGTTTGGTTAATTTGGTTGTTGTATTAGTTTGGACGGTTTGGTTATGATATTGTATTCCATGGTTAATGAAATTTAGCCTTATTTGGTTTGGTTATAACCATGGTAACCATTTGAACACCCCTATCAGTAGCTAGGTGCATCGGGTTGACTTCATTTCGTAGGGTGACTGAGCCTTCATGGGCCTCTTTTGTTCCAATGGGCCTTCATTCTTGAAGAGGTTGGGCTTTATTTTTACCAATGGCAATCTCCTCTTCCTTAGATAACACCGCCTTTTGGCTCGTAGGACTTCCCTTCTTAGTCTGTGAGATTTGCTCTCCCTTACCTTTTCCTTCTCTATTTCCTTTTCCTGTTGACTCTCCCTCTGCCCGGATTTGGTGTTGTGGCCGTTGTGGGTGATTGCCCGAATCGTGTACTTTCCTATTTTGCCTCCTAGATTTGCGTGTGACTTGCGTCTAGGGGCCAAAGCCCGCCGGCGGTTCCTGGGAGCTGGTCGTCGGTGTAGTCGCAGACTCTGTTTTCGGCAGCCCTACAGTAAAGAGCTGCGTGTTCTGTGCGCGTTGAGGACAAGAATCCTCTTGTTTCCCAATTCGGCCGCACTCGTAGCAAATCGTTGGTAAATTTTTATAAAGCACTAATTGCCATAAATTTTCCTGCCATATTTTCGTGGGAAGAGGCTTAGTCATGTCTAACTCAATAGCCAGTCTGGCAAATTCACCTCGTTCTCGGTTTTCTGTGTGATAATCGAGCTTGATTGTACGTCCGATGAGGTTTCTTAGAGCGAAGAGAATCTTTGTTTGATAGAAGTGTACCGACAATTCTGGTAGTTGTACCCAGACTACCAGCGATCGGTGTAGTTTGTCGGATGTGCGGAAGGCAGGTGACCACTCGTGGACGATCAAGTAGTGATCCAATATCACCCACGGGCCTCCGGTGAGCGCCCTTAAGTAGTCTTGATCGTCCCCAAAAGTAGCCAGGAACGTATCATTGTTGAGATCCATCACCTCTAGAGAACCAATCGGTCGCCATTTCCAGCGCAGCTGTGATACTAGATACGAATACGAGATTGAACGTCCAAGGAGCCGGACAATCAACGTTTTCCTCCAGGGTTGGCATAGTCTTTCCTTCTGCACTGGTGAGATTTTCAGAGCTTGTTGGCCTTGGTGAGTAAATGATTCCAGATCTCAATCGCCAATGAAGGTCCATTGACAGTTTTTCTTTGGTGGAGTCGCCGTTGGGCCCAACAGAGCTGCCTTGAAGTTCAAGGCTGGAGCTTTCTCCGTCGGAGGTATAAGTTGTTGCCCGCCTTGATCCTGCTGGTCCAGTGGCCTGCCCGTCAAGTTCATGGTCGTCGGAGGAGGATGATCGAGGGTCGTCGCAATTGAGAGCATTTTCCTCGTTCAAGATCGTGCTAGTATATCGGTCCTTGTTTGTAGTTACATGCCTTCATCCTAAGTTATATGCATTGCCATAATTAATGCCATTGCATAAATGTTTTTATGGCTATTCTATACACATGCAATATTTCCGAATGTTATGAATATTAAATCATACATTGGATTTATACATCCTCCTTCTCGATTTCTACAAATTCATTTATGTATATACACTAGATTTGGGCACGTCCGTTGGTCGGATACATTTCATAAATAGAATAAAATAAAATAGTTATCATGCAAAGATGGTATATTTTTATTTGATAATATAAAATAACTCAAATTATTCTATTATTGGAAAAAATCATAATTGAAAGTAGAAAATCAAACGCATTCAAGATAACCAACTCTTAAGAAACATAATCAAATCAGGCTTCAATTTACTTCTCACTGTCAAAATCTACATACCTATATGGCAGGAAAAAATCAAATATCAATAACAACTAAATTTCATTATTAAATAACAAGATTCTAAATAACCAAAATCTTTGATAAGCATAATGTAGATAAAAAGTAATTCAATAACATATCACATCCCAAAAGAAAAGAAAACAAAAGCGAAACACCAACATCATGAAATCCAAAAACACGGGAACTAGTTTAAAAAAAGGGCACAATGTCAATCTTTATTTTCTTGGTCATCAGAATCGTTCTCTTAATTGTCATTGCAATCTTTCCCTTGACCACTTTCTTCATCACTATTGTCATTGCAATCTTCCTCTTCACCACTTTCTTCCTCTTCATCATTGTTGTCCTCATTTGGGTTTGTATTGTTACCCTATAAAATATTAATGACAATAAGACAAAATTCTATGGGTAGAAATAGTAATGATTTGTAAATATGTTACATACCAGTAAACCAAATTGTTTCAATGCATCTTGAACAAGTTGTGGCACCGAATTTTCCACCATTACTATCTTATCTTGCAATCCTTTGACGACTGCATCAGTTTTTTCTTTCTCGTTTAGACGATCTTCCCGGCAACGTTTACTACAACCACCTAATGAAGAAGCATCGTAAACTTCTGTTTCCGTAACTCCCAAACCCATGCCAGGTACCCGACCTTTACGTGGCTGCCCAACAACCTGACGATATATGTCCCAATAATTGGGAACTTCGCCTCTAGCTACAACTTCAGCTACAAGTTTCTCCATCTCATTCTACAATCATTTAATATAAAACATGACCATTAAGGTTCGAGAAAATACAATACATAATTAACAAGCCTATCGGAAACAAGACAAAAGCTTACATTAATCAGTTCAGCCTTCGGGGTACTAAACCCCTTTTTTTCATGTTTTGCCGCTTCCATATTTCTAGTGGAGTAGGCTCACGTCCTGTTTCCTTTTTCTATCAATGACAATTAACTATAAGATCATATCTAGATTTCTAGCAATGATATTTAAAAAGAAAATATAATTTGTTCATGAAAATATATACCGCATCAGATCTGTATTTTGCTTCTGGTACAAAACCTCCTGTGGAAATCAACTCACTTTTAGCTCTATTCTGCTTATTTATAGTACTCTTCGCTACAACAATGAACATATGTTTATTAGATGAAATGAATATGAGTGTGCCAATCAATCATATTGAATGAGATCATACCTTCCATAATGGATCATTCCATTTGTCCACCATCTCTTTCCACTCAGGTTATTATATTAATGGGTTTAGATTTCACACAAAAAATCGAGAGCAGAATAGACATACTCTAAATAGTGGTGTGATGGTGAGAGGGGAGAATAATGACAACATTCCTTACTATGGAACTCTTATTAAAGTGATTGAACTCCGATACACAGAAGGTATTAGAGTTGTCCTTTTTCAATGTGATTGGTATGACATAACTCGGGAAGGCATTGGCTACAAGAAGGATCATCATGGTTTTACTACCATCAATAAGGCATGACTATTGAATACTCAAGAGCCATTTGTCTTAGCGAGTCAGTGTATACAAGTTTATTATGTGTCTTGTATCAGAAATCCTAACTGGGCAACAATTATTGAAACAAAGCCTAGAAATTTGTTTTAGATGCCAGATGATGATGATGATGATGGTGGTGATGATGATGGGGGTGAAGCATATTAAGAAGAGATGATTTCAGTGACTACTCCTCAAGGGATTGAAAATGATGAAGATTATGAAATACATTGGAGAAGAGAGGGGGCTTGAAGACTTTGTAGATTGAAATTTTATTTTTATTTTGCTAAAATATTTTGAGCTCTCACATTTATAGTTCTATTTCTGGTGGACGGTGTATTTTTTCTTCCTAGAAAATATTGTGAAAGTTTCAGAAGCCTCACATTGATAGTTCTATACATAAATTATGTCCATGCAATACAAATTAAAATTGAGAGCGTGGAAGTATATTTTGTCTTTGTCGCAAAAATATAACTTGTTGACGAACTTTATTGACAAAAGTGGCCTATGGCTCGTAAAAGTGATTTAACGATTATATTGACATGCCCTCGCTAATATTTGTCACTAATGGAAGTCTTTACCGACGATGTCTAGTCTTCGTTGTTAATACAATGTTTTGACATAATGGTAGTAACGACCATAATTTATTCGTTTAAATAACCATGGCGCCAACTTTTCCCTCCAAAAATTAGAGTTAGTGATGAAGGCATGTATCTTTACCGACGACGTCTAGGCTTTGTCACAAATAGATAAATCATTGACGAGACATTGTTGACGAAAGTGAAATATCGTCCCTAAAAGTGATTATTAGCGACGACTTTGACCCACCATCGCTAATTTTTGTCACTAATGGCAGTCTTTTTTGTAGTGTCTACTCATATTAATATCTGAATGACCTCTCAAATAAGAATACAAAAGACGTTAGTAGTAATGTTGTTACAACTTTCTACGCAATAGCAATGAGTTTGATTATTCCAATCTTGTTTGAAGTCTATAACTATAAAAATCACATTGAGTGTTCTTTTTGTTGAGTCCATCTTCATCTTCAATGCTAGGGACGAGCAATGGGATGTCGACTGCTAAACCCACCCAATTATAATTCACTCATTACATGTTTGGGTGGATATGGTGGGTGTGTGTGGGGTTTTTTCTTTATTACCCATTAAATTTGGGTGGATGACGGGTGGGTAGCGTGTGTGTCATTACCCTCAAAATCACACAATATATTAAGTCATTAATGCATATTCTATAATAATACATTATATTTTCTTAGATTTCTATTTTTGTTTATATATTTTTTTAGTTATTGGTTCAATTAACTTATATAAATTTTACTTGACTTAGAACATAAATTCAAATATTTTAAAATATGATAACTATCAATAAAATATTTGTGTGTTCATAAATGAGATAATTCTTATTAGATTATGCAATAAATTACAATTAATAGTTATCAATTTTCTTGATTTGTAATATTGACATTCAATTAGTTTTATGCAAATTTTATGGCTCATAATTATATAATTATTTAAAAATAATTTGACTCACCAAAATTGCCAAACGCCCAAACCCACCCGCCACCCGCTATCATCCACCCACAATGATACAACTAGGTGGACGTGGATCATTTGTCATCACCCACCATAATAATGGGTGGGAGGATTTTGCACCTAACCCACCCATTGTACATCCCTACTCACTGCCAAAATATGAAATATTTTAGTGTTAGCCATCCTCGCCATGTGAGAATATAATATAAGATATTACAAAGTCATTAAACTTATATGATATATACTAACTTGTTCCATTTCATGACTTCGATAGTGGACAACAATATCTGGAGAAAATGATAGCTCCCCAATATCATCAACAATTAAAGCAACAACCTCATGAAGATGACAAATCATATTCTCTACCATCCCATTCTCTTTAGAAAGCAACTTAATTTAAACGTGCTAAACAATGGTGTCATTTAATCTCTCCCTTGTAGGTTGAAATGTCTTTACTAAAAATGTTACTTGATTTTAATCTCCTATAATTGTTGAATAGTTGAATCACACCAAAGAATTTGAAACTGGATCTATGGAGGAAAAAAATCTAACTGATTTTGGAGTTCATTAGTGTCATAGAAGTAGAGTTGAGCAAGTTTTGGTATGTTACTATGTTTTCTTCAATAAGTAACATGCTACTGATCGATGATGTACTTAACTCCAAACGAATAAACATATATTTCATGTTCATTTAGAGATCTACCCAATTTACCTCCAATAGAAGTTAATGCAAATACCCAATATAGCCTCAAACATGTTCCAAAAAATGACGTCTGTTGAAGTATTTGCTTGTATTAGCATATTCAAAATCTCTGGGGTTGCCTTCGAGAAGCGAGGTTTACTTTGCCTTGTTTGTAGTACAATGAAAACTTTGTTCATTTGAAATTTTTCGTGGGCTTGGTCCCAATGCAGTCAAACTCGCAATTTAAAACTTAAAAGTTTATGCTTTAACATTTTTTAGGTCACCAAAACACTTCTACATAGAATTGTTGTTTTCACATATAATTATAGTAAAAATGTACATTTTTACGCTTTTAGATAACCAAAACGCTTCTACATAGAATCGCGATTTTGAATGTATTACTTTATATTTTCACCTTTCCACATCATCGCTCCACAATAATTATATAACGAACTTCGGTTATCAAACACTTCAACAACTGCAAAAAAAAAAAATATATAATAATAAAAAATTCCAAATTAAGAAATA